TTCCCGCCGCACAAGCAATATTGGATGGTCTCAAGATTCGCCACGAAAAGACTGGGAAAGCACCAATCCTGATTCATACAGTGCGCACTTCTTTCCAATGAATTAGCTGCAATTTGACAGGCGCTCAAATATTTCTCTATTTTGGATCATAGTCCGGCTCAGGTATGGCTTATAAGTTGATAGTACTGTGTAATGTTGCTAACGCATGTGCAATATAGCGATTATTATTGACGACGCTCGAGGACTGCACGGAGACCACAAGGTCTACAGCGATCTCGAAAGTAAAGCACTCAACGCCATAGCGGAAAGCGTACTCCATAGAAACGTCGATATTCCTATTGTGGAAGCGGATAAGGCGGGATACGTGAAAGCCTACCTCATAACACCAGGTACGTCAGATTTACACTAGCCATTGTCTTGCCATATATTTCTTTCTGCACAGGAACCGTATTCGGCTATCCTTCTGGCCCATTGGTAGATCTGAACATTCAGAACAGGCATTCAATCCAGCTCCCATTCATAATCAAGCCTTCCATCGCCAGGAAGCAGGGCGCATATATCGGGAAGGGTCTTAACGCTTGGTCGGCTGTCGACGTCAACGACAGTAAGTTGCTGCCACTTATGTTTGATTTTGTGTCTTAAAAAACGTTGTCTCTAGCTGCAGACCTATTCATCGTCATTTTCGACGCCGCAATTTCGAACTCTCCAGCTGCCGGTCACGGCACTGAAGGATATTACTTTGCAGAGAATTTCGAGTACACCGGATTCGAAGCCGCGAAGACGATATCCGAGAAGCTCTTCGAGCTTGGCATCGCTAGTTCCCCCGAGCCGAATACCTTCACTCAGGATGAGCTGGACAAGAACTTCGGTGTACGTGATATTTTTTGTACTCGCTCTTTTTCCCTATTAATATTATCATTGTAGTCATTCTGGACCGTGCTTGCGACTAACAGTCGTGCGAAGGGCGATCGCGGTCGGGCGCTTGGATGGGCTCCTAAATTCGGAAAGGAAGAGTTCTTGGCAAATGTGAAGGAGGAAGTTGCATTTTACGCCAATGAATTGAAGTCTTAAGACTTGATGATGGGCATCGCTCTGTCACTAGTGCACAGAGGACCATGCACCTTATTTTAGACTAGTCCGCTTCCGTTCTAACAGTTTGCTATTGTTCTGGCGTAAACAGTTCACGAAAATGAGATATAGTCTACGATATATAAAAGTTCACACGAAAAGCCACAGGTGAAGATGAAGATATGAAGGTTGTCAGAAGGAATCGAAGAACTTTAGGCGGGGAAAGCTACAATTAACAACCTGATATGATTCTCTTCCGAGGCGGGCCCCTCACATCACTGAGCGCTTAAATCGTTCGGGATACGCCGAGCTGACTTGTATCGGAACGCAAAGTCAAATACTTATTCTATTGTATGTTTACTAGCTGGCAATGACGTGGAATAGCGAGGAGAACGCGGGAGGTGCCTCGTCGTGGGAAGAGGAGTAGCATCGCGGTCACTTGAGGCGAGAGGGAGGAATAGATTTGTGTGGGGATCTACGGGGATGCCAGGAGTGCTTACGTCGATGAAAGTGCTTCTGCTTTTAAGATAATATACGGAAGTGTCCACGGTTGTGAGTGCTGGTAACGCATTGCGCTTGAGGTTAATTTAGAGGAAATGGAAAATAGGCGAGAGGGGTGCTCGAGCCTTGAGCGCTTGAGCTTGAGCGTGGAGGTGCAGAAAGAGTGAAGCCTCAGAAGGCCGTGTGTGCAAGACGACCAGAAATAGAGGAGAGCGCGGGTGGTTCCCAGAGAGAGGAGGAACTTGAATAACAAGCGGCGTTGTGGCATCATGGCTTACATAATTCATCCGAGTTCGGCCGAACAGTGATCCGCATCGTCCTCCTCTCATCATTCACTGTTTCCACCTGCTTCCACCCCCATCTGTCGTTGTCATATCTTCACCAGGCGCGTCCTGCACGTCGGTGTACAATTTATTTAAGCCTACATGAGAAGAGGTGCACGTATGCAGCCTGCTCAGTCCCTTGAACAACAATGAACATCAGCGACTGCGGCAGTGCCATGCCTGGGGCGCTACGCAACCGCGCCCTCATCTACACATATATCTCGTCTTCTATGTTGTAAGTTTACTTTTTCGTGTATATGTCGTCAAGCTTATTCATAAAACAATCTCCCCTTGGCTTGAGCTTAAACATGCGTAGTCGTCGCTGGCTAATTGTGTCACAGAATCGCTACCGCCTCTGAATCTTCTACTACACTCCTATCCTCCCACAACACATTCATATCCTCATAGGACGTGTATTTTAATTTCACGTCTCAGTCAACCTCGGTGTTAAGGAAGTGTCGGACCAAGCAATGGCTCTGAATGTGCCCCCAGTCCTACCGCCGTCATGTTTGTTCGGCTCGTTCCCTGTAAGCCCGCCTCTCTTCTCAACGCCGTTGCAAGATTCGATCTCATCGGAGTGTCAAAGTTACCAAGGATGCGCCCCAGCAGAGCGAGCAGGGATTAATCACTGCGTGGTACGTTCATTGTCTTTCCCCGGTCGTATCATTCTAATCGGATTCTCTCGACATCGACAGAAGCCACGTGAATCCATGATATGTCTTATGCAACCTGTGATACGCACTCTCAATACTTCCCAACCTCAATGTCTCATCCCCATTTCAACATCAAATCATCAATGCATTGAATTCCAACCTGTGGATCCCTCCTTCGGCAATTTGCGTCTTGATTCCGTATTGTGGGTCTTAATCTTCAAGCGCAGCATACATGAACTCGTACCACCGCTATTCCACCTAAGCGGTTGACCGTTCGGCACCGTCACTTACTCCTGGTACATACCTACGTCAGTTGACGTGGTTGGTCTGTGACGGGTATATGTGCATATATAAGGTCAGCTCTTTCTCCCTTACCGCTTGTCCTTGCTCTCTTAACTTGGCTTCGTAGAACTGAGCATCGACGACCCTATCGAGCACGCTTTATCTATCAGGCTGGTCTCCTTCGGCGACGTTGTTGATGATGATGAGCACATTGTTCCTTCTTTTTTTCGCCTCCGATATCGATTTCATCTGGTTTGTAGGTATGACTTCTGAATGGATCTTATGCTCTGTGCCGGCTTTTCTGGAATTATAATTCTTGGGTGTACCGGATGGGACAGATACTTCATCTTTTTCCTCGTATAAATGATTCTCTCAAATGAACTCGAATGGAAGGATCGACATAGCGATCATAGAATTTGGTTCCGACATACCGATGTGCTTGCATTGCCTTGTTTCTGTGCCAATGCTAAAGTTCACAGGGATTGGCTTTCACTCGATCGCGTTCTATCTATGTGTATTCGATCGTCGAAGGGTCGGTGATACAAGTATCATAAAAATTGTTTACCAATCGTGTCTCCCGGCATCCACGCTGTGGAACTGGCCCCCGTCTTTCTCGCGGGTAGATTCTGAAACGGTATCGACAAGGATATTGGCCACCTCGTCTGGCAGACGTATGATGAAGCTCTCTAGCACCTCTTTGAATTTACCAGTTGTGTCTTTTATTATGGATTGTCTGACTAAGATTTATTGCGGACGATGTTTAGCATTCAACACAATGGGTGATTGCGAATGAGACTCACACATGTCACTGTCGACCAGACCTGGACATTGTGGAAACGTAACTGGAAGGCACGCGTGGTACTGTCAGTTCGATATTGTCTGGGTATGCGAGTTTGGGTGCGTACTCAGCCAATCGTTCTCGAAGTGGATCTTGCGAATGATCCAATTGAGTGCGGACTTGCTCATTCCATACGGCGCATTGTCTATGGGAATGTTACCGATGAGGCTGACGCTCCCCGCGCCTGAGCTAATGGCGATAAATCGCGGGTGTGGGCTGGCCTTCAATATGGCGCGGAAGGCTTGGAAGAGCACAATTGGGCCGAGGACATTGACCTACGCGGTAGCATATACGTTGAGTCGGCAGGTGTATACTATTAGAACTGCCATACCGCAAAGTGATCTTCGTAGTTCTGAGCGGTCGTCTCGTGAACCTTTCCAGTAGAGTTCTCAATTGCTGTAATTACGGGCATAAATATAAAAACAAAACCAATAATTTGAGACGAACCCGCATTTGCAATAATCGTATCGATCTTTCCGTGTTTCCCTTGTATCTCCAGTGCAAGCGCCTTGTTGCTTTCCTCATCTCCCGCGATATATTTGACCGGCACGACCCGGCCTGTATATTTCGCTTCCAATTCGACAAGGCGTGGAGTCCCGGATGGGTTGCGGCCACCAGCGTAGATGATGGCAGAGGGATCTTTGGCCGCTATTGCGCTGACAAGGGCTAAGCCTGCAATTATAGAAAGGTATGGATTGGAAATCAAAGGTCGACAACTTCGCGGTAGGTAAGCATACCTAGTCCGCGTGTCGCGCCTGTTACAAGGTATATTGTAGCTGGAGTGTCAGACATGTTTGCGAAGCGAGAGATAGAATGCTGCGAAGTGTGATATGAGAAACGTCCTATCCGTGCGTGCTTTTATACAAAAATGCAGCTAACGAGGAGATTAGTACAATGTTCAACGTTCAACATTGGTAATGGCTGATTAACACCATTAATAAGTAGATATTTATCAACACCCCCCTGAACAAATGGCGAGGACAGTCATTTGCTTATGAAGACAAGTTTCGCCATTGATCACTAGTCACTCTTTACGGTAATATATGCAGTGCTACACGTTTCGGGAACTCATCTTCATCGAGCATCATCGGGAATTGAACTCATGTACTCAAGTCCCATGAACCACGATGACGAACGACAGAATTTCCGAAATTGAAGCTCAGACTCTATGGCCTTCGCAAACGAGGGCACTTCCGCGGAGAAATTAGTCATTTACCGCTCTCATTTTCTTGGAAGAGAATTAAGACCAAGTACAATGAGTTCATGATACCGGTGCGCTCAGGATATATTTGTCTATTTCTCTCATGGTGTTTATTTTTTTGAAGCTAAACGTAATCCCTCTTAGCTCAGTGGTAGAGCGCGTCACTAGTAGTAGTAACACCATGAGTATATGACGAGGTCAGTCGTTCAAGTCGGCTAGAGGGAATTTCGATTTCGAAATTTAATTTCTTTTGCTTTTGTTTTCAATACTTCTGCCTTGAACAGTCAAAAATTTGTACTCAAAATGTGAATTTCTGAAGAGAGCAACTTCTATTTTTTTTAAGCAAAGGAAAGCTGGATAGCAGTGCGACAACTTCGAATCTAAAACAGCAAGAGCAGGTTCAGGATAGAAGAGCAATGGAAAGAAGACGGAGAAAATTTTTTATCAAGAGTTTCATGCGTTTAAATAAAGAAATTGAATGATAGTTTGTACGTATGACTGCATGAATGCTTAGAACAAAGGGATCAAACAAAAGGGAAAAAAAACCAGGAAAAAAGAATATATGGGCTAGGGGTATACCATTGCTATACATGTATCTCCACACCCTCCTATGACGGTGCGTGAATACAAGAATAAAGAATAAAAAAAGGAAATACGGAAGCCCCACTAGAGAGACCTCCATTGTCGTTGGCCGGCCTGCACCACCATCGTCGTCGTAACGTCTTATAATTTATGCAGTTGCAAAGCAGTCATGTCATTGGCCGACCTAACGTCGCCTACGACTCGTCCCGCTCTTCTCGTCCTCGTCCTCTGAATTACCTCCAAACGATCTCGTCTTCACCGAAGCGCCATCCTAGACGCCTTCGACGTCAACGTACCCGTGGCAGCAGGGCGACCTGGATTCGTCTCGGCAGCAGGAGCACTTCCCATACCACCCGTGAGGGCCGAGCCCATGGCGTCGTTCTCCTCTGGAATGCCGGTGCCCCCGGCAGCGCTCGCCGTGCGTATGCTGACGAGCACCTCCTTGCAGTACTTGAGCTTGTCGACCAGGCGCTGCTGGAACTTGACCTGCTCTGGGTCGGCGTTGAGTGCGGGCGGACGCATGGCCTGTGCCATGATGTCCGAGAGCGTCCAGCGCGTCATGTTGTAGTGCTTGTCGATGTGGGTTACGAGTAGGCCTTGTGATGAGAGGATGAGCTTGGAGTGATCATAAAAGTTGAACTGCAGGATCGCAATAAAAAGTTAGTCATCGATATGGCGCATCGAAGTAGGGCGATCTTACCTGTAACACGTCATGGCTCAGCTTGAACACGATGACATGCTTCATGCGGAGGTACTTCTGCACCCACTCCATGCCTTTCTCGCGCCCGACGTCCTCGAAAGTATACGTATATTCGCCGTAGAGGCGGTCCATAATATACCGCTCGAAGTGCTTAAGGAGGTATACCTTACTCTTGAGTTCCTCGGGGTATACGTCAACGGTGTACGCCTTACGAACGTAAACAGAGCCAGAACGGCGCGACGTGATGTAGTCGAAATGTCTGGATCATATCCTTCAGTCTTACGATCAAAACATGCATCAAAAAGCACTCACACTTTATCAGGACTCAGCACAAGCGTTGTGCTATCGTTGAAATGCACACCCACACTCCCATCCGTGAGCGCATATCCCATGCCGTACTTGTTGCAATAGTCGACCCAGCTGACAATGAACACACGCTCTTCAGGTAAGGGAAGCATATCCACAGGCGTGCGGAAAACGCGGCCAGCCGCCTTGGCGTCGAAGGCCAGCGTCAGGGTGTGTGCTGCTGCGTCGAAGCCGTTCAACTTGACAGCGGGAGTGGGTGCCGGCTCTGGCGCCGGGGCTGCGTGTGCTGCATAAAACGAGGTAAGAAATCGATTACATGAGATGCTAGAGGAAAGTACCGACCTGCAGCACGAGGGTTCTCTTTTTCATCCAGCTTTGGTTGAGGACGCATCCGCGAAGCGTATTTATTGGTGATGGCCGTGGCACCTGCTCGTGGCGCCGCGTTCTCCCTGCCTTGTGCGACATAGGCCTCACGCGCCTTCTCTGTAGGCTTCGCTACGGGCGCTGGTGGCTCCTCCATGTCATACTCTGGCTCCGCCTCCTCCCGCACAGGCGCCATTTGGGCGACAATTCTCGCTTTCTGTGCCTCGAGCTCCTTCTTGCGCAGCCTCATCTCTTCCTCCTCGTGGTCGCCATCGTCCGAGCTCGGCGGTGCTTTCCTCCTGCTCTGCAACGAACCATAGTTGCGCTCCTCCTCGACGATGCCATCCAGTCCGCGGGTGACGCTCCGACGCCCAAGAGGGCTCTCCTTGACCGCCTGCAACTTGCGAAGTAAGGGATTCTCGCGAGGGGCGCCACCTCCGCCGGGTGACGTGGCGGTGCCCATAAGAAGAGGCTGGCGCGCGGATGACAGTAGAGCAGAGATGGGCGAGCCAGGCTGCACGGCTTTCTGGAATTCCTTCTCCTGTTGCGCGATGCTGCCGGCGATGCTCTTGCTTGCTGCGAGTGCGTTGCCATTGCCCGCCGAGGTACTTTGGGAGACACCCGACGCACCAAGGGTAGCGGGATCTGCGTCGAGCAGGGAATATTTCCGAAGGCGCTTGAGGTTCGCGTCCGACGCAGACTTGGAGATGTGGCGGAAATCAGGGGCGCTGTCGTGGGCGGAGGTCGGGATATAGGGGGGAACGGGGCCTTGTGTGAAAAATGCGTGGTCCACAATTTCATGAAGAGAGGGTCGTTGCGACGGGTCCGGTGTGAGGATTTGCTGAATGAGGTTCTGTACCGCCGATGAGATGACGCGCTCGGTAGGAAATTCGTATTCGTTGTCTCGAATACGTCTTCGAAAAAAATCAGCAAGTCATATTATGGATATTGCAGAGGGTCTTACTTGTAGATAGCCTTGACGTCCTTTGTTTGGAAAGGCGGACGACCAATAACGAGGGTGTACAAAATGACACCAATGGACCACGTGTCGACCTCGAAGCTATGTCCGTTCGCCGTGTCGAACAGCACCTCTGGCGCAATGTAGTTCGGCGTTCCGCAGATAGTTTTCTTCCTTTCTCCGGGATTCTCGATAAGAGCGGCGAGACCAAAATCGCCGACCTTGACGTTCATGTTCGCATCGAGGAAAAGGTTGCCCAACTTGAGATCCCTGTGGATGACCTGGTGCGTGTGCATATAGTGGCATGCGCCAATGAGCTGCACCATGAAGAAGCGCGACTCGGGCTCTGTAAACCGGCGACGGCGACGGAGCATGTCCATGAGCGAGCCCGATGGGCACAGTTCGAGTGTCATGTAAACGTTGTCCTCGTCTTCGAAACATTCTTGGAAATTGACAATGTTGGGGTGTTCAAGCGAGCGGTGAATTTTAATTTCTGCATAGAGCTACATGCGAAAAGTTATGATCGAGCTCTCAGGACGATCACAACGACTCACTTTAGTTTTAGCTTTCTTCGTTTTCAGTGATGACTTTGTGACGACCTTACACGCAAGACGGTATCCTCTGACGTCTTTAACTTCATATACCCGAGCAAAACCACCCTGAAATAAATGAGTTTATCGCTCTGCCACGAGTTCAACAACACACGAACCTCTCCAAGAAAACCCACACGGCTGAACTGCAACCTCCCTGACTTGTCGGTGATAACCTTGGGTGGCGAAGGTGGCGCAGTCTTGCTATTCTGCCTAGGCAGCGGGGGAGACGACGGCGCTTTCGGGGGCGGCTTTGGGGGCGTTTGCTGCTGGTTGGGTTGGTGGTTGACCTGGTGGTTGACGGTGTTCGTGAGCGGATGCCTGCGGATTATTGGCACTTGCTGTGCTGCTGCAGGCATTCTGGTGTATGTTTGTTGTTGGTACATAGTTCTTGAGGAGGCCTAACGCCTTTTCAGTGCCGTCGTCGTCGTGGAGAACCTCGAGATGGCCGTTCGGAAAGTTGAACACGGCGAGCACGAGGAGAGCGCGTTTTGTTCATATATCACGTGACGGTGGTTCCTCCAAATCGTTGATGCGCTTTGGATTCGCGCGTTCGACCCTGCAACAACGCAATAAAGAATACCCACGATTCCTTCAACAATGATTCACCGCACAAAAAAGAAGTCGTTGATTCTCTGAAGTTACGTATGAAAAAGTAAAAGCAAATCGAATTCCCGCTAGCCGACTTGAACGACTGACCTCGTCATACACTGAAAGACTGTGTACTAGTGACGCGCTCTACCACTGAGCTAAGAGGGATTACGTTAAGTTTCGCTACAATCCATAATAACCCTCATTAAAATACTTATGGTTTTTCCAATAGCATAACGAAAATTCTAGCAGTACAAAAAACGATGAGCTATTCGTTGTGCGTATCATGATCAACTAATTCATCAAATCATCAAGAAGATAGCGATCGAATGAGGTATGGAATCCAACATATCCATCTTTAAACTTCTGCCAAGCTTGGAATGCCTCCGTATCTGACTCCAAGATTTTGCAGACTTGCACATGAGCTTCGGCGACGTCGTTTGCGAGTTGCTTGAAGACGTCCATCTTCGGCTGTCCCTGACATCCAGCAAGCAAAGAGATGCAGTTGACCGTCTCTCCTGCAGCGTCTTCCTTGTAGAAGGAGAGAACGTCGCTGTAGCAGAAAAAAGGTGGGTCAGATACTTCAATTTCTACCGTATCTAGAGTTTATAGCTCACTTTCCGTATCCAATAAAAGTTACGGCTTCCGGAATGCACTGTAATATAGTACAGGTGAAATATGTGCGAGTCTGAGGAAGAAACAAATCCTTGCCTGGATATAATTCCTCACTGGAATGCTTCGAGGGAATGCCATCAATGCATAAGTTTCCGACGAGCCAGACAATTTCCTTGTGAACTCCGGGTAACCCTTTGCATACAAGGAAGCCTACAATAAGTGCTGCATCAGCATCCCGAACCATACCAAGATCCCAATAAAAAGTGATCACCTTCATGCCCTTGGTCTGGAACTCCAACGTCGAAGCATTGATCAAATTAAGAGTCGACGTCAATATGATACTGGCAGCAACAGGCTCATAGTGGACCGGAATCTCAAGCAAAAAACTCGCCATACTATCAAGCACTGGATCGAGCTGCTTCTCGCGGCGGAGAAAGCGCTCGATGAAAACGCACACGCGCTCGTTATCCCGCTCATAAGCGTCGTCCACGTAGACGAGGAAAGCCGTGTAGAGCGCGAT